TTTTTTTTTTTTCTTTTCCTCAGAGTCGGATGTGTTTGAAATTGTCCTCCCAATCACTGTCTTCGTGCTGAGTGATGATGACTTTTTCCAAGAGGATGCTGAGGAGCAAGCAGCGTCGGTGCCCGAGTTGAAGGCGGGTGAGCAGGAGGCTGACTTAAACAATAGGACTTTCAAAAAAAGCAATGTGACACCTTCAAATGACAGTAACAGCTTAAGAATTTGGGAAGAAAACAAGTCTGCTTCAAGTCAGGATAATAGTATGAAATACTCTGAAGAAAAATGGGTTGCTGAGAGTGTGTGTAACAGATCTAAATCATCTTTAAGTGACTGGTGTGATTCAGACATGGATAAGTGTAGTCAAAATTATGTGTTGTCTACGTGGTCTTGCAAAACAGAGCTTACAGAGAGAAATGAAACCAGTGACAGAAAAGAATGTGATGGTGACGATGTCTTTCAGAAGATTCCTCCTCTCCTCTCTTCTGCTGGCAATGAGGGTAGAGATGAGACCGTTGAGGCAAGCAGACAATTGACATTGGCAGCGATACTCAAAGATAAAGAGAAACTTGTCAATGTTTCAAGTGTTCTTACTGATGGCAGTCAAGAGAAACAACCAGAAATCCACAAGGAGATGGAGACAATTGTTGAAATGGAAGGTAACTTGTTAATAAGACTTGTGCAAGAGTTTATGAAATCTGGTAAATCTCAAGTTAGTGTAGTAGGTAGGAAAATGTATAGGAAGAATGTCAGTCGAATTTATTTTAGGTAAGCATTTCGACATAGAGTAATATCATATGCAGCAGAAAAAGAACATTGAGTGGAGTAGGCTTAGTTCTTTCACAGACTCCCGTGAAACATGGTGAAACCACAATAAATTGGTACTGTTTCATTCTGCTGGAGTTTGCAAAAGGGCAGCCTTACATTAGGGAAAAGGTTCTGAACATAAAAACTTGGGTTAAAGGTTTTGTTATCCCAATTAGAGATATTAGGGAGAGACTACCAACAGACGGTTACTCTGTGTCACAACAAGCAATGTAAGCAAAGACTGAGAGAAGCATAATTTAGGCTTAAACTCCACCATTCCTTATGAGGAATATAGATGGAACAGCAGATGGAAGTCCTTCAGGAGGAAAGGTGTAGAGAATTACTGAGAGTACTTTCCCCTCTAACAGACAAAAGAGAGCAGAAGGAGCTTCATATTTGTGAGACTGGAGCCCTAGCAAAGTTTGGTGCAAGTACTTTCGTAGGAGTTCTGGTGTAGAGCTGTTTCATTAAAAACTGTAGGGGATGCAGTGTTGTCCTGTGAAGTTCAGACCTTTGAGTGAAAAGAGAAAGTGGAAAGAAGGAGGGTCCTAACTAGGATTTCTTCTCTTAAAACATTATTTAAATGCAGGGAAATATGTAGAGAGACATTAGGAAGGAAGTGGAGATAGGAAAATATTAAGGAAGAAGAAGGAATGAAGAGGCAGCAGGTCATTAGACAATTTGGGATTATTACTACCAATTAATTGTGAACATTGACGTTTGTATGAAATGGTCACGCATGTGACTTTTTTATCCCCTTGTAGATCCTGATTCTTCAAAGAATGGAGATAATGAAGCTAATAGCAGAAAAAGAAAGAGAAGCAAATTTGAAGATGAAACTCTGAGTTCTCTTTTGGAACATGACTTGAAAGAAGAACCGAAATTTACGTATAATTGTTCTGCTCTGTTTCTTAATGGATGTTTGCCTACTCCAGAAGAATTGCTAAAGGATGTAGGGAAATGGGAGATGAATCCCTCCACTTCTGCTGAATCAAATACTACAGGAGAGCATATTTATAAGACATTAACGCCATTTCCTAAAAAAGGATCTCGGCAACAAAAAGTTGTTTCTCCTCATGCAAGTCCCAAAGAATTCCAAAACCAGCAAGAAGGTTTAGCATGGTTAAGTAATAGTGTGACCATCAAACCTCTTTCGAAACCATCTTGTTGTAAAGATAAGCATGAAAAATTGAATTTGAAGTGCAGGTTTTGTGATTCTGTATATAAATGCAATGCGCATTTAAAGAAACATGTTTATTCAGCTCATAAAGATAAGAAAATATATAAATGCTGCTTTTGTAAAAGAACCTTTTTCTTTTCTGTCAACCTTAAGAATCACCTTAAATTTCATAAGAAAATGACTAGGTTGCAAAAGGCAAGAAAAAATAGAATAAATGCGAGAAAAGTTAGGCAGAGATCTGAAGAAAGAAAATCTGAGACCAAGAAAAGAGAAAGTAAATACGAAAAATTTTTCATCAAAATTGAAAGGGACTTTACACCTCTGGGCATGCCAGTTAGTTTTTCCTGCAAAATGTGTTTCTTTGCTTCATCAAATCCTAGGATTTTTATTCATCACATGAAGGGACATAAAGAGAGACCACCTTACCAGTGTCCTCAGTGTGACTATTCCTGCATTAGCTTATCCTATTTGTTAAATCACATGTACTGGCATGCTGGGTATAAGCTGTACCAGTGCAGGTTTTGCACCTTTTTTTCATTATATTTTGCAAGCATGGTAAGGCATAGCTACATACACACAGGGGCTAAACCATATTCCTGTGAGTTCTGCCAGTCAGCATTCACAACCACCACTGGGTTAAAGAGACACAGAAGATTACATGGAGCCAAAGAAACATGCCAAGGGCAGCAACTTGACTTTGTAAGTGGAAGAAAGAGAATTCAAAGACCTTCAAAGAGTTATACATGTGATGAGTGTAACCTAGTGTTTTACACTAGAGGACATCTCAGCTTTCATAAGAAATTTCATGAACAGTTTCAGGCTACTGCTAATGGTTATACAAATCAGAGCAATGAATATCATAAAAGTAAAATATGCAAAGCTGACAGTGATTCTCAGGACCGTGTTTCTCTGTGTCTTTCTGGTAAAGAAAATGATTGTCTCAGTGACGGAATGCTGGCTTCAGAAGTAGACTTTGAGTGGGCCGGTGAGGCGTGGGACAATAAGAAAATGTGCTCTGGAAAGAAATTCCCTGAAAACAGCCATGGAAGCAACGGCTTACCTGTTATTGGGAATAGATCAGAAGTTCCTCTGAATTCATACAAAATGGACACTGTCATTTGCAAAGAGGAATTTCTCTTCAACTCCAAGGCCTCTCATTCACAGGTTCAAGATGATGATGCATATCATAGATTGGTGGAAGACTTAAAGGATGCGTGGCCTTCCAATTTGTCTACATTCAAAATGCACAAGTGCCAACACTGCAGTTACGCTACCGCAGTTCATAGTGACTTCAAGCTGCACCTAAAAATACATGCAGGTGAAAGACCATTTGTGTGTAAAGAATGCAATAAGACGTTTAAAACATCAAACCGTTTGCAGAAACACAGCCTTATTCACGTAAAGAATGGATATGAGTTTGGCCATTGCATCTATGTAGATAGCCGTTCAGAGAACCTTGAATTGCATCGTGAAATGGATGTAGGCTTGTGTCCAGAAAGAGATTTTGGTTCCTCGGAAGGTTCAAACACCATCCATTCTTTTCTTGGTTCAGAAGTCTGTGGAGGACAGCCAGATGTCCAGAGGGGCAAAACAAATGATTTGCTAGCACAAAGTCAGCCACGATTCTATCAGTGTGCAGAGTGTGAGTACACTACGTACATTTTAAGCAACCTTGAGCTACATGTAAGAACTCACACAGGTGAGAAACCTTACAGCTGCAGCGTTTGTCAGAAGAAGTTTCGTACTTCCAGTCACCTGAAAAGGCACAGAGTCACGCATTTTAACATGGAGCATCTCAAGTGCAGGAACTGTGACTATTCAACAAACAAATGGCTGTCCTTGAAACAGCATCTGGCTTCACACTCCTGTGAGGAAAGCTCATCTACTGGCTGCTTCTACGAACAAAAGCAGCTGCCTGTCAAAACATACACATGTGAAGAGTGTGGCTATTCCACAGCCCACAATGGAAACTTGAAGCCACACTTGAGAATTCATACAGGGGAGAAGCCGTTCAAGTGCGGTCAGTGCACCGTTGCTTTCCGCACATCTAGCCACCTGAAGCGCCACTTACTGACTCATTTAAAGTTGCACTGCAGAAGGTGTAAATTTTCTACGGTAGATAAACGTGCTTTCCAAAAGCATGTGAAAACACACCAAAAAATGTACAAGTGTGGAAAGTGTAATGTGACTCTGCCTACCAAAAAACTTCTGGAAAAGCATAAGCAGCAACATAAGCTTGGAATTTAAGCTTGGGAATTGCAAGTTGGCACTTGGTTCTGGAGAGGTTTGCATGTCCTGAATTTATTCATTGCTTTACATTCTCCTGCTTTCCCCAGAACGATGGCTGGTAATGGGTGCATGTAGCGTTTTGGTCCAGAGTGAAACTCGGGATATTGGTTTGCACCAGGTTCTTCTGAGACCTTCAGTTCTAACACAGGCTGTGGTACAGAAGGTCTTGGAGGCACTTTTCCATGCTCGAGTGACTTCTTAATATTATGAGGTCAGTTACGATTTGGCCAATGTTCATCAGGTTAAACAGTTACTGTGTGCCACTTGTTTTCTTGCAAAAAATCAATTGAATCTTTTTGCCTAACTGAATGTTTAAACGGAGGGAAGGAAGTGCACATTATATCGTATAGAAATAACTTTTCATTTAAAAATTGTCAATGTTTTTGGAGGCTTAATGGTACCTCCCATCTGCTGAAAGTTGCATTCCCTACTCTCAGGTTCTCTTGCAATACTTGCAAGAGAAAAAAAATAGTATCTCACAAAATTACAGAAACAAAGGATTCATGTCATCACAGGATAACTGGGATATGAAAATGTTATTCTGTATGTGTGTGTATGTATAAGGTTTATTAGACAGTTGCTGCACTTTTGATAGTTCTTTGAGTAGTCTGATAGAAATGGTAATGTTATCCTTCATCAGATATTTTATGATATTGAGAATCCTTAAATCAATCTTCAATTTTATGTAAATGTCTAATGTTAATCTAGTATGAAATGCTTTATCTTTTCTCAGGCTGGTAGCTATTGTGCTCTTTGTTTTTTAAATAGGCAATATCATACTTCTCAAAGAATTTCTGTTAATGTAACCACTTGCTGATATATTGCAAATACTACCTAGTTACTTTTAAAACCTTAGTGGTATCTTGAACCATAAAATTTATTTTGGTAGAGCTTTACTGTGCATCTAAAGTACCATGTATAAGGGCTACTTGTGCCAAACAACAGTTGTTACCTGGTATGGTGAAGACGGATGCTTCTTCCACTTATATTCAAATCTAGACAAATCTTTCTTTGTTTTACAGAGTTATATGGTGCTAGAAACTCGGTGTGGACAGCACTGTCTGTAATATGTTCAGTGGTATTGATAAAAGTGGTGTCACCCTCGTGTGTGAGGAAAGACAATGGCAAAAGGCTGCTGCTAACTGTCCCCTGATTTTACAGTGTAGTCTATGAAACAGCACAGTAAACCTATAGCTTAATTTAGAGAATGTAAACATGAAAATACCACTGCTTTTTTACTGCTCTCAAATGTATGTTTTTCTTTCCAGTAGAGATAATATTTTGCAGACACTTTCTGGTAATGTAGGAGGCAGGTTGGAAACGGTTGCCCAGAGAGGTGGTGGAGTCTCCCTCTTTGGATGTATTCCAAAGCCATCTGGACACGGTCCTGGGCAGCCAGCTGTGGGTGGCCTTGCTTGAGCAGGGATTTCGGCCAGATGATCTCCAGAAGTCCCGCAGCCATTCTGTGTTTCAGAATGAGATTTTCCAAGAATGAATTGAAACTCATTAATAGATGCATGTGTTTAAGGCCAGATCAGCAAAGGTATTTAAGCGATCTAGTTCTTTGTAGTTGCAGTAAAATCAGACAAGTAAATAGCTGTGACTCTGAACCCTGATGGTTACAGATGTTTTTACTACAAGCTGTGAAGTCACCATTTTTTGAACGCATGATTCAGAACTTAGAATGATTGAGCTAACCACCTGATACAGTTGTGAGAAAGGTTATCCTAATATGAATAAAGAAAAGCATTTCTGGGAAATACTAACACTGTTATAGAAGCGTGGATGAATTTTTACCTGCGTTACTGTACAATCCTGATCATTTATTTGAAGAAGAATTCAAAAGAACAGGTACAAAGATGAAGCAAATGGTGGAGAGAATTATAAGCCTATGTATCAGGGGAGACTAGGAAAGATAAATCTGAGAGAGAATAATTTTTTCAAAGTACAGTGCACAATGATGAAGAAAGGAGCCCAATTTAGGGTGATAAATTAATTGAAGTAAATTTTAAAAACTTTGTAAACAGCATCAGTTTCTTTTAGTTATAAGTAAGAACAACAGAAGACAATTTCAGCTGGAGCTTGATGAATTTGTAAAAATAATTATTCCATGTGGTTGCCTCTAATAAAAATAAAGCGTTTCATGACTTATGAGGGTCCCCTCTGTTCCTTATGCAATGCACTGCACTTTTGGGGATCGGAAGTCATTCTTAGTCTGCCAAGTCGAAGAAATTTAAATGTAAAGTTGTACTCGTTTTAAAATAAGGACACAGTCTGTTCTTGGTATTTTTTTTTGCTAGCTAAGAGTGTAACATCTTTTATTCCAGAGTTTTAACAAAAATCAAAGCCTTTCCTAAATCATACTAGGAAGTTTTCTGTTTAGAAACGTCTTTGTCTCTAAATGGGAGAGACATGGATTTGATGGATAGACCACTTAGTGGATATGGAATTGACTGGATGGTCGCACTTAAAGAGTTGTGGTCAATGGCTCGATGTCCGAGTGGAGACCAGTGAGGGTGAAGTTCCCCAGGGGCTGGTGTTGGGACGGGTGCTATTTAACATCTTTGTTGGCGACATGGAGAGCTGGATCGAGTGCAGCCTCAGCAAGTTTGCAGAGGACACCAAGCTGAGTGGTGCGGTCGACACACCAGAGGGATGGGATGCCATCCAGAGGGAGCTGGACAAGCTCGAAGAATGGGCCTGTATGAACCTCATGAGATTCAACAAGGCCAAGTGCAAGGTCCTGCCCCTGGGTCAGAGCAACCCCCAGTATCAGCACATGTTGGGGGATGAAGGGATGGAGAACACCCCCATGGAGAAGGACTTGGGCAACCTGGTG